AAAAAAAAAAATTTAAAGACATAAATTAAATATTATTAATTACAGTATTAATAATTAATTTTATATAAATTTTTATAGTAAATTTAATTAACACCTGATCCTTTAAGTCAAGTGATCTCTGATTACCTTGAGGTGTATTTCCTTTTCTTTTGAGTAGGTTCGAACCCGCTCCATGACAATATTATTCAAAAAAATATATATACATAATGTAAATTAAAAATAAATAGAATATTTGTAATTAAAATTAAAATATGTAAAAATATATAATTTTAATATAAAAATTTATATAAAATTAATTATAAATATTTTAACTAATAAATTTTTTTTAAAAAATACAAATTAGATAAACTTAAGAATAAAAAAACTCCTAATTTTTTTTTGTTTATATATATATTCTTCAAAAACGAATTGCGCACAATATCCTATTCAATTTCTTGGAAAAAATGATGTCTTCCAAGTGTCAAATTGGGAAGAATGTGGATGCTTAACTAAACATATATATATTTTAGGGATAGCAAAAGTAAGGGCAAATCAACAACAAAAGCAGTTATTTAAAAAAAAAAAAAAAGGTTAAAGGAGCGGAATGGATCTATCATATTATATAATGGAGACTTTGTTGTAGTGACCCATCAATTCTCAGAAAACCTAGGTATTCTGTTAAGGTCCCACTAAGATATTATCACCTAGTTTAACCAATTAAATTTAAATCATATTATAAACTTCACACATAATTAAAATTTATTTTATGATTGAGATAAATAGGATTTAAAGAAGATATTGCATTTGTAACTGAAGCACTGTCTTCCTTTTTTCATTTTTGGGAAATTATGCGATTAGAAAAACTAGTGTTTTTTTTTTTTAAATGGATTATAATTTGAAAAAAGAGAAATCAAACTCCAATTGTAGAATTGAGGGTGCAACTTGCGATGAGATATAAAGTTATCAGGTGAACAGGTGCAAAAAAGCCTGTATCTTTAGTCCATTTGATCTGGTAACATAACTAAGTTTCAATTTTAATTTTTTTAGTACTTTAAGAATGGACCCCAAAGAAATCCAGTCTTGGGTTGCCAGATGTCAAAGCATAATTCATCCAGGTAGACAGGTGAGTTGAGTACTTGAGTCCCTTAGAAGAGATGCAAGGTAGTAGTAGAGATATAATGAAGAGAATGGGAATCAATGAAGATTGGGAGTGGCTTTTCTGAGTGCATGTTAAATGTCTGCAGGGAAAATTTGGCAGTTAAAGTTGCTATCATGATCCCAATTCACAAAATGTTGGTCAAGTCAAAACCACCAGCTGCTGTGTGAAATAGAAGAAAATGAGTAAAAGAAAGCACTGAGTAAGTTGGGTATGAATATGAAGGGAGAGAGAAAGAGAAGTAAAAATTAATAATAATAATAATATATGAATGAATCGCATTAAACCCAGAAGAGTTAAAATTTGACATTTGGGGGGTACATAGGGATTTCAATATTATATAATCTTTTGTCTTCTCATTCCCTTGCCAAAAACAGTGAAAACTCATGAAAGTCTAGGACTTTTCAGGGTCACCTTCTTCAATCAAAGAGGACCCCTTTTGTTTTGCCTTATTTTGCCCCCACCTCTTTACCTGTTCATGGATCCCAAGGCCTCCAAGCAGCCACCACAGGAGGTACCCAAGTTCTTGAGCCTACCACCACAACCCCAACACCAACACCATCAACAACAAAACCCACAACAGCAGCAACAACAGCAGCAGCAGCAGCAGCAGCAGCAGCAATCGCCACAGAACATGGGTGAGAACAAACCAGCTGAAGTCAAGGATTTTCAGATTGTAATTGCAGACAAAGAGGAGGGCAAGAAACAGCAGTTGGCACCCAAGAGGAGCTCTAACAAAGACAGGCACACAAAAGTTGAAGGCAGAGGTAGGAGGATTAGGATGCCTGCTCTGTGTGCAGCAAGAATCTTCCAGTTGACCAGAGAATTGGGTCATAAATCTGATGGAGAAACAATACAGTGGTTGTTACAGCAAGCTGAACCGTCTATAATTGCAGCCACAGGGAGTGGAACCATACCGGCATCTGCTTTGGCAGCAGCTGGAGGTTCAGTTTCACAGCAAGGGGGTTCTCTATCAGCAGGATTGCACCAAAAGATGGATGATATAGGGGGGTCCAGTATAGGGTCGGCTAGCAGTAGGACCAATTGGGCAATGGTAAGTGGCAATTTAGCAAGACCCCATCATGTGGCTACGGGTCTATGGCCCCCAGTCAGTGGGTTTGGCTTCCCGTCATCATCTGGTCCATCTGCTACGAATTTGGGAAGCGAAAGTTCTAATTACCTGCAAAAGATAGGGTTTTCTGGCTTTGACTTGCCTGCTACTAACATGGGTCCTATGAGCTTTACCTCAATTTTGGGTGGCGGTAACCAGCAGCTGCCTGGTTTGGAACTGGGGTTGTCTCAAGATGGGCATATTGGGGTTCTGAATCCACAAGCCTTGAGCCAAATTTATCAGCAGATGGGTCAGGCTAGAATGCACCACCACCACCACCAGCATCAGCAGCAACCTCCTGCTGAGGATGATTCTCAAGGGTCTGGTCAGTAAAGTAGTAAAATTTGGTGCGAGATTGAAAAAAGTAGCATTGTTGGGAGAGGATGAGTTTTTCTTGTAATGGTTTCAGTATTTGTATATTTGGGAAAACAAAAAATTGAGAAAGTTCATGCCTGCCTGAGAGAATTCTATAGGGACTTGATGGATTTGGTTTTGCCCCTTCTTTCTCCCCGCCTTACGGCCCTCACCCAAGCCTCCATTACGTAGGTGCTGCCTTAATTCTTGGCGTATTTGCTTATATTTATATGGATAAAGGGGGTATTGATTTTGTTTGTTGTTGCTTTTGGTTTGAAATGTGCAGGTGGAGCTGTGCTCAGCCAAGTAGCTTGAGTTTGGGCCTTACTTCTTGTTTAATTCAGAGGTGTGTTGATTATATTGTAACTTGTAAGGCATCTTTAATTTCTTTTGTTCTTCTCTAGGTCTGGATGGAGTGCCAATCAGTTTGTTTGTGAAATTAAACATAGAGTTTTGCTGTCATACATGTCCGGTTTATTGCTAGATTTGGTAGAATTCCTTTTTAACTGGCAATATTACATGAAACATAAGCGAGCAATGAATGATCACATCTGGATTCTGGCTATTACATGTGTGGAGCGGAGGTTTCCTACTATGGCATGCCTTTAAACAATCTAGTTCTAAAACCATTTTAAAGTAGCGGTCCCCAGAGCTGATCTCCATATGTTTCTAAAACCATTGTTGAACCTGTTTGTGTCATGATCCATTATAGTTCTTTATACAGTTGAAATATTCTATTTTAGTCTAAAATTCATCTTTCAGAAAGATGACTAACCCTATCATGAAGACAAATCCAGGCAGGCTACAAATATTGCTTCTTTTGTTGCACTCTTACACCCTTTATGAAGGGGCAGGGCTTGGTCTAATGTAGTAAATGTCAGTGAGAATTAATTATCCTACTTTTGCACCCTTCCAAGTGCCATTTCAACATGGAAATGACCAGGATCTCTAAGAACTTCCAAGTTAGTTATTTCCATTTCTTGGCCATGGTTAGCTGCCTGAGTTAACTAAACATCCTGTGTAGCATCTTCCAAAGGAGTATGTAGGCAGATAAAAAGCCTAAAGTTACAGCTGTTAGAGAACCTGCTTACTGATGTTTCAGGCACTTTTCCATCTTTTCCAGAGAGATCCTGTTTCTCTGACCACATTTTATCTAATAGAGAAGACAAATAATGTATTTCAAGTCCCTAAATACATGGTGCTTATACGATTTTGCCTCAGTTCTCAAGTGCATAGAATATATAGTGTGCCTGCATAAAAATATACTTGTGAACACCATGACTATTCTTTTATATGGTTGCCTATGGACGAAATCAAGCAGATCTGAAAATTTGTCAATTTTGTGGCTAATTAATGGCTTAACAAGGCTTTCTTTATCAAATAAATGCTGTAAGATTGAGAATTTAAAACATTAGGGAAGGCAACAATACAATGGCCACTACATTTCTATCATGTGGACCTAGCTACAGTTTACTAGACTTTTGAAGCACTATGTTATTGGCTGTGTTGTGTGAACTATGCCCCAAATGATCTATAGATAATGAAGCCTCTATCTCCATTTGTTCTTCTCAATACAGTCTCTTTCAATGCATTCACTGGCACTCACTCTTGGTGCAGCCTCTATGATTGACTATTATCATGTTTGCTTTCATATAATGCATGATGAGTTGATGAATTCAACACTAGGTTTTATTTTCTGCCACCCATCTGTCTCCTATAGTAGAAAGAAAATTATGTGCTATTAGCCAGAGATCTAGTTATTGATGAAGTTTAAGTTCAAAAGGAAAATGCCTTGCAGCCATGGAAAACTTGGTTTATTTCACTTGACTGATATTTTCTCCTATGTAAAAATCTCAAACTTCTTAGATTCCCACCACTAAGATCATCTTAATCTTTTAAGATATGTTGCTTTTGAATCCTATTCTTAATGTTGGTAGATACTCGTGGTTAGATTCTGCCTTCAATTAGCAAAAGTAAACAGTTCATTATCTGTTCATTATGCCAAGTTATGAAACAAATTTTGTTTGCCTGGTACAAACCTAGAAGGAGATTTTTGCTCAGTAATTGAAATTTGGAAAACCAACATCTGCTTGCACTCAAAAACCAGGCTTAAATTTTTGGACATTGCCCTCGGAAGGAAAAGTAGTAGGTCAAACATCACATTTGCAAGAGGGGTTTACCTAACATCACTCCAAGGAGTGATAGGAAGCCATAACTGTCTTTTCTCAATCAGATTAAATGTATGGTTTGAATCATGTTTATGTAATTTTGACTTGTTTTGCCATTAAATTTATACAACCATCAGCCTCCCTTGACTTGTGCAATTCATTTAACCATTGCCTTTCCTTTTTTTTTGGGGGGGGGGGGGGGGTGTTGTAGTTGGTCCCTCAAACTAGATGATCCTTTTTCATTTATTTATGATATAATAATTTTAATTATCCTTTTTGAGTGTGGAAGCCTGAAAGGGATTCATTCATTAATTGGTATGTGGCAGCTTGAGTTGAGTACCAACTGTCTTGCATAATGAGGACACTGTGTACTTTAAATTGGTTGTCTTTGTCAATTAAACTTTCATTGATGCTTTCTCTTGGTCATATTTATGAGCTCCAGCTTTTCAACTTAACCGACAGTTGGGTGTTAGTTAATAGACAGATATCAATAATGTGTGGTGCTGGTTGGTTCAGATCCGCCTACTCACTTTGTTCTTGTTCTTCCTGATTGGCTTGTGAGGCATCTGACTTGCACTCAACTACATGTGAATATGTTTGGATGACACTCTTGTTCTGTGGAGAATGAAGATGATATCCACTGTTGCTTCTTACTCCTCCTGCATTGGGACAGTGATGGCCAATATAATAAAGCCTTGTTTTCACATGCATATGCCTGTACTGTGCCACGCTGCTTTCTTTTTTTGTGAATGTTGTTGAGTAGGAAAATTTTACATTAAAAAATATCAAAGAAACGGTGATTTAAATATAAAGAGGGTTATTTTACTTATTAGTTATTGTCAATTGGTTTTAACTTTGATACAAGTTTTATGTAAAAACTCAGTATATATGAAATTTTTGTAATGGAAAGAAAACATCATTGGAATCTTCAAAGTTGTGTCATCGTATTCACATTCCCATCTGAAGATGCTTTCATTGGTTTGGAAGAAATACTTTGGTTTTTCATTATATTGGAGGATGAATGACGGGAAAAGTACTATGGAACAGTGTGTGGCTTTGTGCGACAACCGGGGTAAAGCCCATTGTTATATGGCTGTCCAGGTTTCTTTATGGAGCAAGCCCAGCTCGTACATTGTCCAATTTGTAAACCAGCCCAGCCACAAAAGTGCATTGACTTTTCACACCTTTAGGGTTCAGGCCTCCGGATTTGAGGAGCCCATCGAATCATGGACCACTAGAAAAAAGTCCCCACGATGTGATCATCACCAAAAAGCAGAGTTTGGTGAATGGTTATATTTTCAAAATATAACGATATTATAGTTATAATATTATATAAAATTATAAAATATAATATAATATAATATTATCAATAGTTTTATAAATAAATAAAATTAATTATAGAATAATATATCACGTTGTAAACATATAATATCATGTAATATAGTAGGTATAACATTTTCATTCAGCATATAAACCACTAATGACCCACGAGCAAGTACATGAGTTGGCAAGGACTCTTCTAATTTAATTAGAGATCTTGATTTTAAATCTTAAAAATGCAATTCTGTTAAAACTCGTGAGGGAGAGTTTTGTCACATGTTAAGTTCTGTCCAACTCGAATCCAAATTAGTTAATGGCCTAGTGAGCTATTAGATACTGAATGATCTATACAAAATATATATATATATATATATAAATAAACCACTAATGAAATTATTCAATATCCACTAAAAGCAATTACAGCTACAACTACAGCTACACAATTTATCAAGCGCATTGTTATATAGACCGAGAAAGAGAGA